AATCAGTATTTCAGTCGTTCAGTCAGTACAGTCATATGTGGTACATCCATTAGCATAACAGTACAGTAAACAGTAGGTCTTAAAAGACCAAGCAGTAAATGATGGCCATCAATCAGTAACAGTAGTGGTTCCAACGAGGGAATCGACAGAGATCTCTGTAACAGTAACAGTAAACAGTAGGTGCTAAGGATGCCACAATACAGTTCAGAATTTAGGACATACATTCATTCAATTAACAGTATCAGTTCAGAAACAGTACAGTTTAATTGTTCAGAAGATAATCATTTTGAACATATCTTTATACAGATATTACTCACAGAGTTCTGGGCTACAGGAAGGCTAGAGCGTCTCCTCAGAAAGCCAATCATACACAGTTAACAGATTGAACACACACTAAGCTACACAATCGGTAAAGCTAGAGCGCGTCCTAGTCGCCAACCCTACACAGTTACAGATTGAACACACACTAAGCTACACAGTTGGGAAAGATAATAACTTAATCCCTAATTTGCCTCGGTGTGTTCTACATCTATATCATCGTTAAGATGCCTTAAACTAGGCCTAATAATGCCTAGAATGAGATGAGGATGTAAAGATGCACTTGAAAAAACATTTTCAGAATTTTCAGAAAAACAGGGGTCACGTTCGAGCGTAGGTTACACCGCTCGAGCGGACATGCAAACAAAGGTTTCCGCTCGAGCGTAGACTTACCCGCTCGAGCGTTCTGCAAAACAGTCAAAAGTGCTGGATAGGCGAAAATCACGTTCGATTGGGCGCTCGACACCTGCTCGAGCATGAGATACAATGTCCCGCTCGAGCGTCAATTCTTCCGCTCGAGCGGACTTCAAAACAGAACAAAATGCTGGGAGCACGATTTCCACGCTCGAGCGCCAGTCACCCCGCTCGAGCGTAAGTCCAAATTCTGGAAATTTCAGATTTGAACCTCAAGCTCAAAACCAAGTTTTAAACCAAAAATTTCGATCCCCTTGGGCCAATTTTCTAGAAAACACATCAAAACTCATACTTTAACATGATTCAAAACTCAATTTGTAAAATCAAAGCCCAAGGGTGTTTCAAATAAATCCAATTCAAACCAATTTCTATAAATATAAAGAACATGCAAACATGCATGAATTCAAACCAATTCAAAGCTTCAATTTCATGCTCTAGGGAGCCAAATCTTTCAAAAACATGATGAGTTCATGGTCTTTTATAAAAATATGAGCATGCATGTACAATTTTATGAAAGACAACTTCAAGAGTTCAAAATAAAGGCATGCATGCATGAACTAGGCTCCAATTCAACATACATGGACCAATTCAAGGCTCAAATCACTAGAGGCTCAAGAACTAAGCATGAACAAGTTCAAATACATTAATAGAAGGTTAAATTCTCATACCTAAGTCTTGTAGTCCAAGAAGGGAGCTCAAATATGCAATCTCTTCTACAATTCTTCAAGCTTCCAAGCAAAACCCTCAAGAACAATTCAATCTCCTAACTCTTTCTTTCTCAGTCGGTTTGTCTCTCTAATGGCTGAGCAAATGTTGTGTTTAGGTGTAATGAAGCTTCAATATGTCCTAGGTAGTGGCCCACCAAGGGCAATGTGGTAAATAAGGCCAACTATGCAATTTAATTCATTTTAATCTAATTTAATCATACGTAATCAGTTTTCAGGTAAATATGCCATAAAATCACATAAATTACGATGATCATAAAACACCAAACGATTTCCGGTTCGGCCACCGATAAGGCCGTCAATTAGCAGTTTAAACATAAAAACACGAACAGATAATCAAATAACCAAACAGATAGAATTATAATTAAATAGGTATACTCAGTCAATTCAGTTTCAATTTCAGTCAGTTAGTTCAGTAGTTTATCCAGTTCACTTATCAGTCATAATCAGTTCAGTTTAACGGTAATCAATGGTTATTTGGTAAACAGTGACGATGGTTGTTACACAAGAGCACAACATTAGATTTTTACAAATACATGCTCATTTTTTTTTCCCTTTTGGATGCCCAGTTTGAATACTTCAATAAGCATGATTAGTTTTCAAATTCCACAGATGAATCAGCCAAGGCCTTTTAAATTTTTTAAGTTTAAAAAATAAATAATAATAACTTAAATTAAAACTTACCCTATGAATTGGAAAGCCATGACCTTACCTCACGAAAATTAAATCTTCTTAATACTCAAATTGAAATATCTTCCATATTTTTTGATGAAAATTAGATGAAAGCAACATTGGAGGCCAAAAAAATCACAAGAAATCACTCAAATGTTGCTGTAAACGAACAAGTTGAACATGCATTTGCTAAATATCCTAAATTTGGTAAACTAGGATTGAATCAATCTGAAAGCTTCAAAAGTTAAACAACTACATTCAATCAAACATTTTTACAAGTACTTGGAGTGCATCTTACAAACCTAGATTTTAAACTAAATACTAAGTATATCATACAACCCAAATTCATACCATCTACATTCAATGAGACACTTTTACAAGCACTTGCAATACATTTTACAACCCATATTTCAAAACAAATATTTGTTATTATTTGTTACCAAAATAAAGGTAAAAATAAATCCGAAAAAAAATCCACAAAACACATAATCATCATCGCCCTCTGCTTCGTCCTACAAACTGCCCTCTTCATCGCCATCGATCCCACTATGTTACGCCCCAAAACCCCAAAATTTTGGCTGAGCTCCGCCGCAATCAACAATCTCACCACTACTTTAGCCTCATTCGAAATCTGATTTGTCGCCATGTACGTCGTGAAGAACTCGAATCTCGGTCCTTTCAAGTTCTATGACACCTATATTACTTCTCGTATAAGGGAAAACGAATCAGAGAGAGTTGAATTCGAGAGTTGAGAGGTAATGTCGATGAAAGATGTGAGCTTGTTGTTGAATGCACTTCTTGTTCTTCATTTGAGTCTATTTTGAATTTGGTTTTGGATATTGGTTCAGGTCAGTGAGTTCACAAACGTTTGAGAGGAAGAAGAAGGGCCAACAAAAAAAAAAAAACCTCCAAAACGACGTCGTTTTGGATCATGGCAAGAAGCACTGCAAGAAACCATGGCAGAGGATCCGGACTCGTGACAACTTATAGTGACTTTTAAATTTTTTTTGCTAAAACTTCAAGTTGCCAAAGTTAATTTTTTCATCAAATCAAAGGAGTTTTATATTTTTATCAAATTTTGTAGGTAGTCGTTAGGTTGGACATCCTCTCGGACAACTAGGCTTGTTTTATCTGAATGCCAATTTTCATTCATAAGAGGAGGTGCTCTCGAACAACCGGGTTCGTAACAAAATTTAATAAAAATTTGAAATTTACTATTTGAGTGCATCATATTAACTCAAACTTTTCATCAAATTTTTACTCAAATTTAATGAAAAACTTGATGAACTGTTGGAGATAGTCTAATAAGGAGAAAATTATTCAATACTTCTAGAGTAAGTTTAAGTGGTGCTCAAAATGAATTGTTATTGATTTAAATCATAAGATCCACCACTTTTGCATTGGAGGTTTAAGAGATAAAGTATTATATGTCAAACTGTAAATAGAACGGAATACTACTCTAAAAGTATTAAATAATTTCTCATTAATAAGGAATTAACAAAGCCAGAAAACATATACAATTTGGAACCTCAATAAGTATGTATTATTATTTTTCAAACGTAAAAGAATAACTTATATTATCGACAAATTTCAAGATTGTCAATATAATTTAAATAAAAAAAATTGATAAATTACACTTTGCCTATGTTATTTTGGTCGTTTTTTTCTTTTGGCTCTTTAAATTTATTTTTTTTCTATATTGACCCTTCATATTTCAAATTTTTTTTTCAATATATTCCTCAAGCTGTTTTTTGTTCAAAATTATACAGAAAATGCTACAATAACTGTCACATAATATAAAAAAATATGTTATTATATTAGAGTTTAAGTCATATATAATAAAATATTTCTATGACACGTAAATAACAATGTGTCATTTTCTATATAATTTTGAAAAAATTAGTCTAAGGTCCCTCTTCCATTTTTAGTAATGGAAGAGGCCTACAATATTATTTTGTGATGCTTAAGGTCCCCAAACCCTATACCCATATATTACAAATAAATTTGACTCTCTCAAATGAACTTATCGATCTCTGTGTCTCTTTCATTCTCTAAAATCTCTTAGTCTCTCTCTATCTTTCTTCCATTTTCTTCATCGCTCAAGTCTCGAAATCTCCGCACTGTTTCAACAATGACAAGGGGCACATCGCAGTCCCAATCATCCTCCTCATCCACTTCTCGCGCCTCGCCTCATTGGTGAAATGACTCCTTACAGCTTAGCCCTGGCCACCGCCAGTATGCGTTGCCGCCACCTCGGCTCCTCCTCCTTCGCTGGATTCGGCGGCGACAGCACCGGAATCCACGTCCTTAGGTTCTATAACTTCTTCAGGTTCAAAGAAAAATTAGTTAGTTCTATCTCTCCATTGTTGATAAATATGCATATATATATGTATGCATATATTGTTTGTGCTGACAATGTTGAATTTCTCTGAATTCCCAGAATTTCTCTAGATTTGGCCACTTTTATTTGGATTTGGCATTTTTCTCTAGATTACCATTGAATTTTCTCTGAATTTGGCAATTTTTTCTGAATTGAATTTTCTCCGAATTTGACAATTTTTTCTAGATTACCCTTGAATTTTCTCTGGATTTGGTAATTTTCTTTAGATTGATGTTGAGAGACTTTAAACATTATGAAAATATTAGATGCCATTTATATTATAAAATCTTAATACTAGGGATTTAAAAAAAAAATTCCTTTATAATTTTTAACAGAAATTAACTTTAGGAGTAAAATGAAAAAAATTTAAAATATAAAGGTTCAAAATAAAAAAAAGAAATAAACTTAAAGAGTCAAAGTAAAAATATGACTAAACAAAAGGGCAAAGTATAATTTACCCAAAAAGAACCTCGTTTGACACGTATTTTTAAAAAAAAATTTATTTATCTATTTATTTTTGGGTAGAAGACACGCTTTACAATTTGCATTAGGGTTTCGCAGTCTCTTCCATCTGAAAAACATGGCTCGCCGAAGCTCAGGTGGTGAGTGCCTGATCTACCCACCTCATTTTTATTTTCTTCGATTTATTAGACTTATTGATCTATTTCATTATGTTTCTCAACTGGGTTTTAGGGCATACCTCAGAACGAACTAAAGAAAATTGAATGATATATAAATTATGAACTCTCTTTTTTTCTTTTTATAATGTAAATGGAAATGAAAGAATCAGCTTTACTAGGTGAAAGACTTGTGTTTAGGTAAGTTTTTGTTCTTTTTCCTTATTCCCTTTTTTTTTTTTGGGTGGGTGGAGTTTGGAAAAATCCAAAATTTAAGATGTTCTTTTTATGTATTTTTTTATTTTAATTTCATCAGATAAATGATGGTTAATTTTTTTCTGTAAATGGAAATGAAAGATCAGCTTTACTAGGTGAAAGACTTGTGTTTAGGTAAGTTTTTGTTCTTTTTCCTTATTCCCTTTTTTTTTTTTTTGGGTGGGTGGAGTTTGGAAAAATCCAAAATTTAAGATGTTCTTTTTATGTATTTTTTTATTTTAATTTCATCAGATAAATGATGGTTAATTTTTTTCTGGGTTTGATTTGGAATTGTTCCTAAATATTCATGTTCTGTGTTTGGCTGGGATTTGAGAAGAGATTTGCAAACGGAAAGGGAAAAAGTAGATGAAACGAGACCTATATTTTACCTAGTTTTACATGCTTTTTATTTTTTTCTTTCTAAATCCCTTCCCAAATCTCCCAACTAAACACAACTTTAGGGTTTTGACATTTATAGGTTGTAAAGGATCTTCATTTCAGGGCTTGAATGTGTTTGTTCTCATTGCACATGTGAAAATTGAAACCATTTTAAAATAAGTTTGTTGTAGTTACTTGGTTTGGCACACGATACAATGGCACAGATGTTGATGTGTATACCTATCTTACCTTTGTGGGTGTTGCCTAAAAATAGCAGAAGCATGATATGAGAGATGAATTTTGGCCTTGGAAATTGATACTGGTCTGTATTTGGTGGCATTTGCATGTGGGTTGGTTGTATGAACAGTATGGATAGAGTCTAGAGATTTATGGTTGAGTACCGATAAATGGAATGGCCATTCTAGCTATACATTTTGTTTGTTTTGTTTGATATGACTTAAGATATTGAGAATGACCATGATAATGATTAATCCAACAAAAAGTGGGAATACAGATTCCTTTCTACAAGCTAAGGGAAAAGCATTACATTTTGTTATGGAATCACCCTATAAAGAAGTGTCGGCCTTCTTCTCGTGGTCACTGGCCAAATTCCTCCGCCCCTCCGACTCTCTCATTGTGGTTGTGATCTTCCTTGGTCTAATTACTCCTCATGTCTGCTATATTTTTTATGGGCTGACAGTCCTGTGCATTCACGACTTCACGGTGCATTTAAGGTTCATGAGGACATGTTTCTTGATAATCAAGAGGCTTTTTTTGGCCATGGGCTCCACACTTGCATATAATGCTTTAATGGATCTGAGTAGTATTTGTTTACAACTTTTAATTTAACTTTTCCATCCTTTTGTGTGTAGGTGCATTAAAATGCTTCTAGCTGGTTTTTCATTGGTCATGTTGCAATTTTTTCTTGGAAGATTTAAGCTTTTATCGGGGATTGTTGAATGTCTAGTACTTACCCTGTTATTCTATAGTTATTTAGGCTTCTGTACATTTTGTTTGGATTTTGGATTAGTGGTAGTAGGGGACCATGAAAGAGAAAATATAGGAAAAGAAAATAAGTGAATGAAGCTATTTTATTTGGTTGGGTTAGGAAAACAAAAACAAAATTAATAGGTATAAGTAATTTCATTTCCCTTACTTGAGAAATCCAAGATCCAAACATAACATAGATCTTCCAAGTTTTAGCTTTTATTTTGCTTCCACTGTGTGCTCTCTCTTTTGCTGTTAGGAGGACACTAGTATACCGTCTTTATCTGTTTGTGTTGTGACTAACTTGAGCATTGGATCTGCTGCACAAGGTTAAATACTTTGTTGTATGTATTTGATTGTCATTCTTTCTACTTAAATGTGCTTCACATGGTTGTGTTATTTGTTGTATTTGTTTGCGATTTTGCATTGCTAACCTTTCAACTGTTGTTTGAATTTCTATTTCAGGAAGATCAGCACCTCGTCGTCCTGCACCAGTGCGTAATCCCCCTCAGCCAGGTGTTGAAAATTTACGTTGTTTAATATCATTTACTCCTCCAGCATATGGTTTCCATTGACATGACTCCTGATTTTCTTATTGTTCCATTTCTGCAGCAAGACAAGCTCCTCCTCCAGCTCCTGTTCAAGGTGGCAGTGGTGGATCCATGCTTGGAGGCCTTGGTGCTACAATAGCTCAAGGTTTGTGGATGTCAAATTACATATGTGATCTGTTGTTATCATAATAAAGGTTTATTAACTCACATAACCAGTCTGGTCATAAGTCTGAGTTTTTGTTGTGTTCTCTCTTCTCTTGTATTCAGGCATGGCATTTGGTACTGGCAGTGCTGTGGCACATAGGGCTGTCGATGCAGTGGTGGGTCCTCGCACCATTCAACACGAAACTGTCGTCTCTGAAGCAGCTTCTGCCCCAGCACCCGCTACAAACAGTATGGGTTCTGATGCTTGCAGTGTGCAGTCCAAGGCATTCCAGGATGTATGTGAAACTTCTTTCTCTTTAGTACTTGTTTACAAAATTGCCAAAATATAGTTGAAAGTGTATAGTTGCATTAGGGATGTTGAAATTTAAAAAGTTAAAACAATAGAGTTGCTGACAGAGTACTGCCTAGTTTTATTTTATTCTAGGGCTGGACTCAAGGGAAAAGTGGTGGGTTTATAGATGAAAACTCGGGAATAGGATCAGGGTCATAAATAATAAATGGAAAGGCTTTGTTTCAGATTTTAATGATAAAGATGCCATATTTGTTTGTTTGCTAAGAGCTATGTTACATCAACTCAAGCATTCGTGTTGGGTGTGAGTATGTGTCCAAGTGTACAATTCATCTAATTTCCATGTCCTTGGACATGGGGACATGGTAAAATTTTCATATTTTTAGGCCATGTTTGTTTGGGCGGACTGGATTAGCATTCCCATGACTAATAGTCCTAGGACTATAAATTTGTTGGATTATGTATCCTATCTTAACTAATAGTCAAGTTTAAAATAATTAATTCCTACTTCAATTGTTTAACCAAACATCGGATTAATAATTTTATTAATTGCTAAATATATTTGCTTGGTGAACGTCTAACTACACATGACTTTATCCAAGTGTTGAGTGTTTGACATGAGACATTTAGAACATCCATGTAACATAGGCTATGATGGGAAGAAGTGATTCTGTATCTAACTTGCTTTGTTAGCCAACTAATGTATTTTGAATTACTTAAAAAAACAACAGAAAATAATTTATTGTTGTAGAACTTTAAGTTATTTTGACATTCTTAAAGTGAAAATGGAGCAAAGGACATTCTAATTCTAAAGGCTGTTTCTGTATATTTATTTTCACGCAGTGCCTGAACTTTTACGGTAATGATATCAGCAAGTGTCAGTTCTATATGGATATGTTGTCCGAGTGCAAGAGGAACTCTGGTTCTACAATGGGTGCTTAACCATGACACCCGTGATTTGGAACTCCATCGTTTTATCCTTTTGACTACCGATGTAATGACAGTTTGTTGTGATGGAGGATTCCCTATCAGTTATCAGTGTTGATAGCTACTGGACATGGTGTTATGAGTACTTAAATAATCTTATTAAAACTTCATCTTACATCTGTTTTGAATGGAAGCTGCATTTGAACTATTACTTGATGTAAGTTTGATCTAATGCATTTGCATATTGCTGTTTGCTCTATGGCTTCATGGTTTCAATATCCAGTTTTTCCATACGCTTCGTTGTGATTTTCCATACGATGTAATGCTTGTTTATTTGCCGAAATTGAGCACTGTAGTTGCATATTAGGGCATGATATTCCCCGACCCTGAATCCCTATTCTTCAGTCCCAAAATATTCATAGTTGTTGGATTGTGTTTCAAGATTCTCACATGATCTGATGTCTAACAAGTTGATCAGCAAAATGATACTGTTTATATGCGATAAAAGGGTGTCGAAATAAAGAGAGAAATATAAAAAGTTGGCATTGCCAATTTTCAGTTCATAAAACACCAGAGCAGTATTGTTCAATCTGCCTTAGCTGCCCCCAAATAGTTGATGTTTACAATTTCCACCTCCCCTTTTTATTTTTCCTTGCCCCCATAAAATTTAATCATCACCACAATCTACCCTTGAGAAAGCTGATGCAGAGCTTTTTCCAAGCCTCCCTGTGTGGCTCATGATTCTCCACATTAGCCTTCACCTCATCAGCATAAGACTCCTGCACAAAGAGAGACAAAATTGAAACAAATTCTAATCAATCCTGGGCATTCAATTGGAGGATAAAAATACCAAATCAAAAACTTTATAAGATCATTTTTCCATCTGTTTACAGGACTACATACCATGATGAGATTGTGGTGGAGAAGACGGTCAATGAGGTGGAGAATAATGTCCTTAGTGTACTCAGGGTGACCTTGGATGCCCATAATATGATCTCCATACTTGAACATCTCTATCCCAGTCTTGTTAGACCATGCCATCACCTCTGCTTTTGGAGGAAGTTCCCATACCTACTTTCACTAATTCAAGATTAGTTTACTACACATTCCCAACTTTACTGTGACGGCAATTTTTTCGTACTAAATTTATTTATTACATGAAGTGTAATTACTGCATTGGTAAAATAAATTTCGACATATGGCCTCAGTTATTGTCGAAACAAACCTCATCTTGGTGGCATTCGATGATGGAGAGGAGGTCGGGTAGTTTGAGAGAAGCGAAGAGCTTTGAAGATGAGGGTGATAATTCAACATTAGTCACTCCAACGTCCCACCCTGACTTGGCCCTCCCAGTTTTTCCACCTAGTGCACGACCCAATATCTGATTTACAAATATATATATATATATATATATAAAAAAAAAAAAAACAAACAAACAAACAATTTTACCATGTATATTCAATAAACAAGTTGAACTGAAATAAACTTATTAAGAAACATAGGTCACAAATTTAAATTTTATTAAATGTTTGAGTGCATTCAAATTATTTGAGAAGTGTGGGATGGTATATACCTACAGGATTAATCCAAACAAAATACCTAAATATTTTCATTTGTGGTTCAAAAAAATTTTGAAAAATTCTAAAAAAAATTTAAAAGCCAAAATAAGTTTTAGAAAAAATTCACTATGTTTTGCTTAGATTTATCTTTTCTAATTTTATTTTTTTTTTAATTTTTTAATTTTTCAGCTCATCTTGTCGAATTAAATTTAGAAACTTAGGTAACATTTGGTTTAATTTTAGAATCATGATTTGAGAATAGAGTTATAATTTGAATTTGTGAGTTATTGAATCATAATTTGAAAAACGAAAATTTGTTTGCTTATAAATTTTAAAAAAAGTTTTGAATTGAATTTTGAATTTTTGAAATGAGTTCTAAAATAAGAAAAGTTGTTGGTTATAAATTTTGAAAAGAATTTTTAAAACTTAATTAAAAAACTTATAACTTATAACCAAACACCAACTCAAAACTCTATTGAAAATTCTATTCAAAACTCATAACCAAACAATTTTTAAAATTCAATTCAAAAAATTAATTATTGAAAAAAATAAATTTTTTATTTAAAAAATTCAAAAAATTCTGAAAATATTCTTTTATTTAAAATATTAAAATATATATTATTTTTTGTTAAAAAAAATTATTCAACTAGTGCTTTAAAATTACTTTTGATTGTATACTTGATTGGAAATTTTTTTTAATTATTTTGTATAAAATATTTTTTTATTTTTTTAAAATTATTGTGACAAATTAATTTTTATTTTAATTTTTTTTTGTTAATTTTAAATAAATGGCCAAATAATAATCTAAGAATTTGGTCTAAAAAAATAATTTTTATATTTAAAAAATATCAAAAATAAATATACTTTTTTTTTAATTAAACAGGTGCCAATTGCACACACACAAAACAAAACAACAAAAAAGTGTTCCGGACATTCAGGTAAACCAAAAAATTCAAAGTCTTGATAGATCAAAAAATTCAAAAACTGTTCGGAAAGATGTTCGGGCAAACGATCAGATAGACCTAATTTCAAAATTTAAAAACTCACTCTGCCAAACCTGTTCAAACGTGGGTGGGAAATCAATTTTTAAAAACTATATCCAAACACAGCTTTGAAATTGGAGGGTGAAATTATGATTCCATCCCTAAATCAAACATAGCCTTAAACATTTTTAAATTTTTTAAAAAAGTCAAAAAAAATAAAAACAAAATAAAATAAAAACATCAAAAGTTGAACCCAAACACCCACTTTGTAGGCAAACCCACGTTTTCTTTAACGGAGTAAGGTCAGTCAATTGGTTATACACACACCTACCAACAATTGCCTATCTATTCTAGCTGTATATTAATTTGAATTAGGGTGAAGAATCTTAAATGTTTTATTAAATATTTTATATAAAAGTAAGACTCACATAGAATTTATATAATGTAAATTGTGTGAATTTCACTCATATATGTAAGATATTTGATAAAATATTTAAAATATCTAACATTTTTCATTACTTTGCATCAAATTATTTTAATTTATACAAAACTTCATTTATACCCAATTTTTTTTTTAAAAAAAGCACACGTTTGGGCAAGTGTCCAAGAGAGATGTAAACAATTTGTTCGGGTAGTCTACATGTAGCTGGCTTTATTTGGCAATAGTTTCTAAGTTGATTTTTTAAATATTTTTTGAGTTATACTTTTGAATAAAATTTCAATTTTTTTTTTTTTAAAATACTTATCAAGGCCCTTTATCTTGAAATATAAATACTTTACAATAAATTACATTAATTAGCCCGGATATTTAAAAAAAAAAATTATAAGTTTTCAAAATTACACTAAGCTCCTATTTAGTAAAGATTAAAATGATCAGAACCATATAGATAGTGTGCAGACACAAATAATCAAGAATAAAATATACATTTAAATACAAAAGATACAATAATATTATTTTTCATTCATATGACTACTGAATAATTGATTAAAAAAAAAAGGACAGCATTATGTGAATAAATTTTTTATTTTTTACCTACTTTTTTAGCCAAATAGCCAAAAAGTTACTAAATTAGCATATTCCCAAACGAGGCCTAAGCTCCTATTTAGTAAGATTAAAATGATCGGAACTGTATAGATAGTGTGTAGACACAAATAATCAAGAATAAAATATACATTTAAATACAAAAGATACAATAATATTATTTTTCATTCATATGACTACTGAATAATTGATTAAAAAAAAAAGGACAGCATTATGTGAATAAATTTTTTAGAAAAAGTTGACGTAATTATTTCAAATTTATAGAGTTCAATGTATTTTTCTAAATCTTAAAAGAGAGGTATGTATTTATCACGTGTCAAAAAAAGAAAAAACAGAAAAAGAAAAGAGATTAGTGTAATTTATTCAATAATTTAATGTTTATTAAAAAATACCACTAAACACTTCTTCTTTATACTTTTCATGGCTAAAAGCATTAAATTGTAAGATAATTGACCATTCAACAGAACACATTAACAAATAAAGTTCAAGAGTCCTATTTTGCCACGCTTACTTTGTTTTGATACTGTGTAAATACCAAACATTCGAACGGTTATAAATTACTATCACAAAAAGTAAATATTACCCAATTGCCCCCTACAACTTCTATAATTTACATTTTGTTTTATAAACCAACTCATTTAAGCAATAGTTTTTTAGGTATGTACTGCACTGACTTTAATCAATATCAAAGTTGGAGGAGAAGTTATTTGGTGGATCTGGGCACGACTACGTGTTACCCCAAATGTGTTGTGATTGGTGGAGGATGAAGCTTACCATTTGATGAAATCTTTGCAACATTTTCATAGGCCGTACCAGATAATTGATTACTATTAAGGCTAAGTCCAACAACTTAAGTTTCGAGGGTTGTTTGGGATATCATAAATAAGTGTATTTTTTAATTTTTGAACTAAAAAGTTGAGAAAAAAAAAATAATTATTTGGAATAACTTTTTATCTTTTTACGAAAAAACATGTATTAAAATATTGTATAAAATGACAAAATTACGTTTTTATCCCTACATTGTAGACTCATCAGTGACAGGTGGCAGGAGGATAGTACGGCTTGGTTGAAATGTGCTTGAGGCTTCACGGGTACTGTTGGGCCGTGGGGGCCCACTACGGGTCACGTTTCGATAATCCGAACCGTTTAATGTGTAGAACTCGTTGAGTACTATATGCCTTTAAAAAAATCACTTTAATCAAATATCAATAGCTATGTGAACAAAACAGTTTTGTATGAAATTAATGGACGGTGAAAAATAAACGGTTAAAAAAAATCTAATTTGATCACATATCTACTCATATCCGATCAACGTGATTTTTTACAGGCATATAGTACTTGATGAGTTCTATACATTGAAACGGTTCGGATTATCAAAACAAGACTCGGCGTGGGCCCCGACGAGCCCAACATTACCCTTCAACTTAATGAATATATATATTTAATTTTCTTTTTTGTTCCTTTGGCTGACCAATACGTACTTTTTGATATCAATTCAATACCAGCACTGTCAACTCGTTGGTATTAACATATTGTGTAAATTAATTTTTTTTATATTTTTAATTTGTGAATAATGATAACTTTTTGATTTTTTAAATTTTTCATAATATGCCAAACCAGGCCTTATATAATTTTAGCAAAGAATTTGTTTTTATTATTACAAGAGCCTTGAGGCCTTTTAGGTTGTGAAATCATTTTTCATTGTGTTTTTGTTTTCTCAAAAGCAACAATAATTAAAAATTTTGATAACATCTTAACTTTTGTGTGAAAAACAATTTTTTTTGGAGTGGTTATGTTCTTTGCCTCCGTTTGGAACGTTGATTTTGAGAGGTTTTTTTGGGCTAAAATTACTACAAAAAATAAAATAGATTTTTTAGTTCAATAAGACAAAACATCACATTCAACCCATAATCATTACATTCTTTCTTTCACAAAAAAACCAAAAAAACTAAAAGCCCTTATCAAATTAGACTTTTTAGTTCCAGACTAAAATAATAATAAAAAAGTCAAAAAATTAAAAAGCCAACCCACTTCCTAAACGAGCTCTTTAAAAAATGAAACACAAGATATTGCAATACAACTAAACATCCCCTTATTAGCAATAATGCATACTCAAAAGTAGCAATATGTAATTCATATTTAACTTATACATATACTCCATAATACCATTTAAATATCAACCCTCCTTTCTTATTTGAGTAATTTTCCTAATAAACATTTTAGGTACACTGTTCCAACACATACATAGTCAATATTCTTGAGGCCCTTTGATGGGATATTCATTTGAGAGAGGCCTCAATATTGGTAGCAATGATTCAGAGTATTAATTTTGATATTTTAATAAAGCACTAATGGTATGATAAGAAAAAATAATAAATAAATAAATAAAAATCTAGACCAAAACATCTTTAAAACTCAAAAAAAAAAAAATTCAATATAGCGGCCACTCCAAAACATCTTTAAAACTCAAAAAAAAAAAAAAATTCAATAGCGGCCACTCCCTATAAGTGAACACTCAGCAAATGGTTGTGCCTGCTCTAATGTGGAATGAGCCATTGGTCTGTTTGGTAACGTTTACGTTTTCAGTTTATATTTACAAAAATTTTATAAACTGATTTTGTTTATTTTTAGAAAAACATAAACTACAAACGCGTTTGGTAATTAACAAAATGTTTAAAAAAATTTAAAAATATAAAAAATAGTGAGAAATGGCAAGTGGTAACAAGTGATGGATGGTGACGAGTGGTGGCGGCGGAAGACGGTGATGGAAAATGGTAGCAGGTGGTGGGTGATGGTG